TTTGATCAGTCAGTGAAAGATGTTCATCATCTACTTGCAACATTAATTCCTTCACTTTTCTCTCCAGTCTGCGGTTACTTAGTTGGAAATTAGCTCTATCTCTGAAATAAAACAAACAAACTGGCTTGTAAAAGGATGAACCAGGATACTTCCAGTCCTTCCAAGTAAAATTCTTAACAGTATTTCAAGTTTTAAATAAATACCAATAGCTTCTGCTTTATTCATTTTTTTATGCAACACATACTAGAGTTTTGTTCAAAATCATGTACCGGTAAGGAGAATACCTTTTGTCTTCAGTGAAACATTAGATAAAGAAGGCACTTCGCCAAGGGTACACCATGAATAAGCAAATTGGATCTTTAAACTACAGTTAGTATTTCTAAGGCTGTTACAGATGGCCAGACAAAACAATGAGGTATGTAAGCACATTACATTGTTGCCCAGTTTTAAAAATATAAATATGAATTCAAATGTATTTAAAATGTATGAATAATTTATTGTATGAAACAGTAGCCATCTTATTTCAGTGCTTGTCAAAAAAAAAAAATCAATTGGCCTAAAAACTTACCAGCAGCAAGAGGTCACATTAACATATATAAACTCAAATATTTGGATCTTAAGATAGCTAGGTTTTACCTCTCTTCATTTTCAAGCCGTTCTTCTAGCTCTGTGATCCTTGCTTCCATTTGTGCAACAAGTCCCTCCTTACTGGATCGGTAAGAACCTTCCAGATGAAGGATTCGGCTCTTCAAGTCCTTGTTCTAGAGTCAGAACATATATGATTACCATATACACTCTTACGTTAACAGGTATTTTCTTAAGACAAAATAAGTCCATCTCATATAACTCACTAGCATACGGATAATATAAGCAGACAGAAAGAAACAACTTGTTTTCAATATCGCTTTTACTCTCACTTGTCTGAAGGGTTTTTTATTTTTTTCTTGTTTCTTAAGTATGCAATGCTACTCTGACTAGGTAAGCAGTTTGAAAAAGTTTTTGTCTTTAAGAAGTACAATTTGTAAAAGCAGGGCTTTTTTTTGCTGAGATTTGCACTTTAGGTAGCTAGGCAAGACAGGCCTTTCAACAGGGACTTCAACATAAAGTTTCAGAAAAGAAAAAATTAAATGAAGAACAGAAAATAAGGCTTATATATTATATTATATAACTTAAAACAAATATCTCAGATTTCTAACACTGTTTAAAAAAAAAAAAAAAAAAAAAAGAATAACAATAGAAAAGTCAGGGCTAAAATAGAAGGATGTACGTGAGATACCAGTAGGTGGCATTCTTTCTTCTTAAACAATTAAGATGGGATCCCACTTAAGTCTGGTTACTCTCTATATCTGGTCCCATTTTTCTGCAATAAACTCGTTATCTAGGTTTCCTTTACAAGCTTTTTTCTTTTCTTTTTCTTGAGACTGTCAGAAAGGCTCACTTGCTAAGATTGCTGTAGAGTAGAAAAACTACAAAAAGCTTGAAAGTGTTTAACATACTGTCCATCACAAACACTGAAACTTATGAATCACATTTCTTCTTAAGCAACAGAGTAATAATTTGCCACCAAATCTGTATCTTTTCTTCCAAAGGTATGTTGCTTTTTCATTTGTTTGCTTCTCCAGAAGAAAACATTCAACAAAAACTGAAATTGCTTGAAATAGTGGTCTGCCTTCAAGCATACTCTTAAATATTAAGCTTGAAAGGTACTTCCTCTTGAAGAGGTCAGTGGGTTTGTAGCTAAACTAGTCAAATATCTTTTTATGATTTTAAGTCTTTCCCCTGTATTTGTCTTTTTAAAGTTTCTGTATTATGGCTCATTTTTATTCCACTAACAAGGATACAAAACCAAAATTAGGCAGTGTAACAGTTAATGTCTTTGATTCTCTAAAGTAGAGACAGAACTTGCGCAGCAGAAGCATGCCTGTACTTGCTACTTTACAAATGTTTACTAGATAGTATAAACAGGTGTACGTACAGTTTGAATGTTTATTATATAAAATATATAACCTGTAATAAATCTCTAGCTATGGAGGAGAAAAAAATAATACTAAGAGCAGTAGTAATTTAAGAGTCTAATATTGTAAAAATAATATTCTTTTGAGTATAAATGTTAAGATACTTATTTTGTTAATCTACTCCTAATATAATACATACTTCCAGGACAATCTGGTGGAACAGTGTCTCAATACTCTAGTCCAAATACTCTAGCTTAGTTCAAAATGAACACAATAAACTGCATCTTGTTGATGTATGGTAGCAATAATTACCTGTCTTTCCAATGAAATTTTGTCACACTCCAAATCTTGCTTTGTAGCTCTTTCCTGAAGTAGCTCAGTTCTCATTTGTTCAATCTATTACACAAAGAAAGCCAGAAATACTAAGAAAAGATTTAACTTATCCTATCTATATGATATTGTGTATGTATAGCAAGGAACTGACCTCTACAATGTCACATCAAACACCTTCTAGAGATGTTTTCTTCATACCTGAGTCTGAAGCTCAGAACTGGCCCATTACCTTTAAGCTGCTAGCTAGTCTAGTTTCACTTTATTAAGCACAAAATGAATCTACAGAAAAGTGCCTATAACTTTGTAAGAAACACTGCAGATCATTTACCCATTTTTGGTACTTTCAGGACTAGTAAATCAGAGCCAGTAGGCTCTGATGCATGTGAGCTATTAAGATTTTGTTCCATAAAACTGATCAATGTCATGTTTGCCACACTATGAGAGCATCAACTTCTGCATTTTTTTGTTTTGTACCTCGTGTTTTTTAAACCTTTGCTACAGTTTCTGTAAATATTTCAGTTGCATCTTCAGTATCAAAAAGAATAAAAATATTCATGAAAAAAATGTTAAAAAACAACCTGATCAATACAGAATCAACATAGAATACAGAATTTCTGTTTATCTCAGTATTTGTTTTGACTGGGGATTAAGGAAAAAAAAAAAGTTCTGATGATCAATGATCACAGAGAAACTCTAGACTGCCTAATAACAGTTGTTGCAAGCTAAACCCTAAGCAGCTGTTGTTGCTAAGGCTAAAGGAAAGTCAGCAATGCCCAAGTACTTTTCCTTTATTGCTACTGAAGTTGCCCTCAAGTGTTTGCAAAGGCCTCTGCAAACACAGCTGATGTTACCACAGCATTTTTGCTGCTCCCTACACAATGTTTATTGTGATGAGCATCACTAGTAAATGCCTTGTCAACCACTGTACCTGCAAAATGATTGAGAAGGGTTTCAGTGGCCACTGCATTCTAATCTACTTCACAGCCATTACTGACGCACTTACATCAACACATTTGCAGTTAAATAGTTCTAAGTTAAAAATTTATCTCATTAAGAGTGTTTCAAGAGCTATTGGGAATTATCACATTAAATAAATAAATAAATAAAAAACACAGAAAGGAAAGTAATGCTCAGGAAGATAGAGTATACATAACAGTTTAGCAGTTTACCTAGTTTACCTCAGGCTTTTTTTTTTTTTTTTTTTTTTAAACACACTATAATCTTAAGAGTCATATCTTTAGTTAATCATGTGTTAAAAGGAAGTAATTTATAGTCTTTCTACAGCTTTTGAATGAATATATGAATACAAACAATGTTGGTAACACATGCGGTTGCACGTGTTATGTCCCAGTATGGTTCTGGAATGGTAGGAGACATTCCTGAAAACCAAGGTCGTATCAATTACTGGACTACAAATATTAGCACATGAAGTGTTCTGGCTACATCTAAGTTTCCTAAAAGCTTTCTTTGTCACATAGGAGCTTAAAGACACTCACTTATCTTTTCCCTTAAGTTCACTAATTAAACATCAGCAAAGTTATTTATTGGGAGATCGCTTAAGCACTTCATTCTTCTATGCTCACTCTTAATGGAGCAATTACCAGATCAAATAACTTCCTAACAACACAGGCACATCTACCTTACACAAGTGTTTCAAAAACAACCCCAGACAATCATTAAGAGTTGTCAATACAATCTAGCTTTTCTCTTATGAAAGAGAAGGAGCAGCTACATTTCTGCAAGATTATTTAATGAATAAATGCAGCCACTAAAACAGATACAGAAAAAATGAAACAGAATTTGAGGCAAAATTAAAAATACAACTGGGAATTACAGAAAAGCTTTATGTTATACGTAGAAACTTACTTAATAGATGATAACGTGGCTCTGTACGCTAAAGCTCTATTTTACTCTAACTGTGGCGATTTCTGCAACCTTTCTCAGATCTCAAATTAAGGATGTATTGACTATTTTATCTCCAAGATGACTATTACTGTGGTTGGACACTTCAGGGTAAAAGTAACAATGTAACCTTACGGGGGGGGGGGGGAAAAAAAGAGTGGGAAAAACAGTGGGAGAGGGAAAAAGTAATAATTAGAATCAGCCAGCGAAAATGTACTCATTTCACCTGTACTCAGGTGAAAATGTACTCATTTCATAAAAAGAGACAAGCAACAGGTGACAAATCTTGCTGGGGGAGGGGGGGAGGGGAGGAGAAGTTGTTTTCTGTTATCTCCTTGCACTTTTCTTTAGTAAAGACGTTAAGTAACATGTGCAAAGGAAAAAAAACAGTTCTCTGCCAAGTGTTCTGAAAGATTCCACTCATCTCACTGCAGCTACACTGGGGAGGCAGCATGCAGGGTTTTGTGCTTCACATTCTACCTTTAGTATATCTAGTATATATCTATATAATATATTCTAATTATGTTAAAAGATTAGACTAACTGTGCAGCTTAGGGCAACAGTTATCACAGCTGGATCTGAAGAATGCTAACAGCAGAGCATTTAAAAAAAGAATAGTATCAGGTTCTACAAAGCTTTATTAGACATAACAGCGCTTTGTACCAGCTTTGGGACTTGAAGCAGCTGCTGAGTTCATTATTAGTGAAAGTAATTTGATTTCTAGAGATATTTTAGATGTTATCACCATTGTTTACTATCGCCTTTTGGGTTCACAAGACTATGTTTCTTTTGAAAGTAAAAATATTTATATGTCTATATCTGTCAACCTATCGTACATGCACAGTTCTCAAGTACGTACACAAATCTCACATACATGACAAGAAAAACCATCTTTAAACAAACAACCAAGCAAAAGGCAGATAAAAGCCTTTGATCCTTCCTAACGGAAAAGGGACTTTCATTTCCACATTTTCATTTACTTGCTTCGCACACCTGGTGCCAGCTAAGGAGCAGGTGTGCAGCAATCCTTTGGGAATGCTTTACCAAAAGCAAGTGAATGATGCAACGCAACTTCCATATTTATTCTAAAATTGCCATGGAAACTAGTCCATTTTTTCACATTTACTGGAAGGAACTCTGAAGTCAACAGATTCATGTTTGCATTTACACAGAACACAAAAACTGATGCGATTATCTTAATTATGTTTATATTTAATTTGAAAAAAAACAAAATGGCACAAGGTATTGTAGTTCTGTGTAGAGAAAACTATCACATACTAAAATACTCGTCTTCTTGCTGCTCCTCTTAGCCTCGAAGGGCAGCAAGAGCGTGCTAGCCTGTGTGTGTTGAAGCCTTTGCTCTTACCAGAGTACCTAATCATTTTAAGATGGGTATGATCCACCTTCCCTCAAAATCTAAGCAGCTGCAAAGCTGCAAACTTCTGAAAAGTTTTGAGTGATTTTGAGCCATTTGGATTACAGACTATCACTTTTCAAGTATAATAACCAACAGTTCCCCTTAATGGTGATTTATTAATTTCAGCATAAATGCTCGACAAGTTTTTTGTCTACTTTGGTTTGGGTTTGTGATAATTATACTGTGTGTATAAGTACAAGAAGATATTTTCTGGTAGTGGAAACCATTATGATTAAAAACAGTAACGGGAAATGGGAAAGCCAATTCAAAGAAAATATACACAAAATCAAAATCTGAAGCAATTAAGAAAATCCATTAGTAAATGCAGTTATTAAACAAACCATTTAGCATTCCAATATCAATAAAGATTCAGCCAAACTCAGGTGTGATTGCACAACACAGGAATAAACACCAATGCACACTTCAGCCAGGTAACCTAACTGCCAAGAAAACAGGAAGCAGCAGCAACATACATGCAGCATGGCAGTCCTACAGTTGCCGAATAGTTAATAAAAGATATTGAGGAGGGATTTGCAGCAGAAGACAGAAAGTAATCTAGTGGATTAATTTTAGAAATCTATTTGTGAATGAGTAATATAATAAAATCAGGTGAAACAAAGGTGACAGCTGGTTGTGAACAAAGAGAAGACAAAAACATCTCAGTAACAGAGATGTCTGATGCCTTCTTCAGCGAAGGAAAGGACCAAAAGGTAGGTCAAGACTACTTTCTACAGAGTTGAAAAGATGCAACAGAGAATGCCTGAAGATAGGTTGCTGCTATTCTGTTTTGAAAAGATTGTAACAGTCAGAACATATTTAAGTTTAGAATGAAGAGTTTTGCAATTTCAAGGACACTAAACTATTGAAGACAGGATAAGAACTTTTATTATCCTGACAAATTTTCTGTAAGTTAGAGACCTAGATACGTCACTGTAAGGAGCTAAAAGTTACTCCACATCTACCTTTTAGTTACAGCTATGTAGAAGTTTGCTAAATTACTGGCATCCACTCCAGATAATTTTTACTGCAAGAGTGTTTGTTCACTGAGATACCTCTCAGTGATGGAGACCACTTCTTTCACATAAAGACTTCCCTATCTTATGTACACACAAGCAGACTACAGCTGAAGAATAGGATTCTTTGTATTTCGACAATCATATGGCAGATATGTAGGGCAGTCTAATAAACCCACTTCAGATAAAATTTAGGTTATGCCCACAGAGTTTTGTCTAGAATTGGCAACCTAGTCAAAAGTGAAAATTTTGCTCTGCTGCACTATTTCTGGAGAATGAGATAGGGAAGATGAAAACTGTGTCATACAGTCCTTCCCAGATTCAAAGGGATATATAAATTAGAAAGGGGATAACATTTCATGGTAAATGGAATGTGAACTCTCAGCCTTGCCATTGTATATTCAAACATTTAGCTTTATATAAAATATAACCAGTAATTGTTGTTACTAGAAATCAGCATATTGTACTTCATTATATTAAAAGAATATTTATATAAAAAAACATTTACAGAAACACAGATATTATGAACACAAATCCATTATCATTTCTAATGTCATTATAAATGCTTAGCAGACCCTGAAATACTTTTTAGTAATTTGACTGCTTAGTCATTCTAGCATAAAATCAAAACAAAGCAACCTTTGTTAACTCATGCAAGAAATGAGAAACTCCAGATCTCAAAATAAACATGTCTTTTGTCCATTATATAACATTTCTGTCATGATCCGTACTTTAGGTTTCCATTTAGCTAGCAAATTAATGACTGTAGTACCCACTGTTAGAGCTATGACCAAGATTATTTCATCCCAGGCATACAGCACAGGTATAGACTCTAGCATTGAAGGTTTCCTAATGAAGCAATAGCATGAACCCAGATTATCGTAGGGCTTTTACATTCTATTTCACCACAGATAATAAGAGCATTTCACATGCACACAGCCTCAATCTGTATTTTATCAACAGAAGAAGAGTAAAGAAATTAGATACCTTATTTATTGAGATTTTATCTATTAATGGTGCCTTGGTGTTTCAAGGATGCATGAAAGGAAGCTGAGCTTTAATTCATTTTAAAAAACCTCTCCAGGTATCTCAGTGGAAAAGATATGAAATCTAAGGCTTTATTTTCTATTTCCTTTCTGAAAACTATTCAAGTGAATTTCAATATTTTTTTTCTGCAGAAAGAAAGAACTGAAATCAGAACAGACTATTGTGTACTGTACCTCTGCAATCTGTCTCCCTGACTTTTAGGGAATTATTAATGAGATAGTACCTAACCTGTAGTACCTAAGCTACAGTAGTAGCAGATGTTTTGTAATGAGCTATAGATAGGTCTCATATCTTCCAGAATGAGAAACTAAGGAAAAAAAAAAACAAAACAAACAAAAAAAACCCCACACATTTTAGAGTCCCTGACAGCTGTATCAACACATCCCCTTTCATCGACCTCTCAAAATCTGCCCAAAGCCCTATTGCTGGTCATTATCTATTTACTTAATTATGTTTGGAATCCTAATAACATTTTTCCACGTGATTATACAACAGTTGGACAATGTAAAGTCAATCAAATACCTGTTCTCTGCATCTACTGATCCTCTCGGACAACAGATCTGAATTATTCTTTTCTTCATCAAGCTCAAGCTCCAGGTGAGATAACTTGTCCTAAGTGGAACATACAAAATAATTTCAGCATATTAGTCTCCCATCCTTTTCAGCCTCCTATCAGGCCTTTCTTCCATAAACTTCAAGAACTAAAACTGTTTGAAAGGAGAGACTTTCAAAGTGAAATACATGCAGAAAATCTAGGAAAAAAAAATGGTCTCAGAAAATAAACTTGCTTGTCTGAAAGAAAAACTTTTCTTTTTTAATCAATTATTCCAGTTTTAAGAAAAAGAAATTCTGTAATTAAAACATTTGTTCTAGAAAATCCTTCCAGATTTTGCAAGTGACAAAAGTTTCCTTCAATAAGCAGAACATATATGAGTACAATGATATAAAAGTGCTTATGGAAGTCAATTTTGGGCTTAATCGAACCAAACAACTAAGCTAACCTGATAATAACTTAATGATTTAGGCTCCTGAAATCCTGAAATTAACTGATATTTGATGCTACTTTTATTTCTAAATGCTTTTAAAAGTCTAGGTGAAAGGTCTATGAATGACTATATTCCTATTTTACCTTATGAACTTTAGGTGAAATTAATTAAAAAGAACTCCATTTGCCATCAGCTAATGAAAGTAATGAAAGAACACGTACAACTGCTACTTAGAATACATCATAATTCTCACATTGCTACTACAGGGATTTTCTAGCACATCTAGTTCATTTGTTTCTTCACAAACAGAATGCACATGACTAAATGATTCCAATCAGATTAATAAAATACCACCCCTAGAAATGGCTTTTACCTCCATTAATTTGATTTGCCTTGCCCGATCATCTTTCAAGTTGTTTTTAGCCTCCAGTTCATATTCCAAATCTCTCACAGTCTGTTCCAGCAGCTGAGTCTTTGTAATTGCCTCATCCTGAGCTCTCTGGTGGTCTTTTAAATTTTCTTCCATAAGACGCATCTGAAACAAAAATAATTACAATAATATGCTTTATATTATGTTTTTAATAAACAAATGGTATCTATAAAGGCTATTATAAGCGTAACATCTGGAAAAACAGGCCCATAGTATGACAGGAATTGCAAGGAGCAATGGCTTTCCCCAGTATTTTTTGTTTCGGCCACACGGTGGCACCAACCAAAGGAATTTTAATCCAAGTTGATAGTGTGAAAGTTCAGAGGCTGCACAGATGTCTTGAACACCACATTTTACAGTCACGCTTATAAACAGTCTTATTTTTTAATTTTCAATTTTACTCATTGTAGAGAACCAACATTTTTATAACTTTGTAAATGGTTATGTCTTTGTAACTTTTTCAATATCATTCTTTTCCTTTCCTGACACCAATGCTTCTGCTTTTTCATGCTTATTTTTGTAGCATGAGGCACTTTCATGACATTATATTATACTAATAATATAACTGCTAATGTACCTATATCTAATAAACATAGCTTTTTAAATAGAGATATCTGATGAGAAAAGTCTTCTAATCACAATGTATACTCAATAAAATTATTTAGTGACTTCATAAAAAAAATATTAGTAGTTGGGTGGGTTTTCGCTTTTTAGGCAAGATTGTAATGCTTCCTTATATTTGTAGCTTAGCTTGTGACATGTCTATAATACATGATCAGAGGTTTCTTCTTCAGCATGCATTATTCCTCAGTTTAGTTAACTACTGATTTCAGTGATAAAGATAAATTAACTTGTTACTAACTGTTACAGAATTTGCTATCCATCGTTAAGTCCTAACAACACCATGTTGGATGCATGCGAAGTGCATGATCTGGTGAACTGCTAAGCGCAGAGATACGTACATTAACAGAAGCATCTCATTAACACTTCAGAATGACACTGGACTGACAATTCTTAACATGGGAGCCTTTTATGTACAAAGGACTTTTCAGTGAGGCAGTAACAATGAAAAACTCCTATGTTGCCTTGCCAGAATGTTATACAGATTTATGGTGGTACTATATATATAGGAACCACACTTCCACCTCTGTAACTGTTCTTTTAAACTAAATTTAAAGCAAGTTTTGGAAGAAAGCAGAAGTCCTGAGCTGGAAGATCAAACTATTAAAATAGTCTTTGTAGAGAATACACTTATGGCCAGTATATCCTCATAGTTTTTCCAAGAGCAGAACAAGTATACGCAGACATTTAAAAGCCTGGATTGCTTTTATGGCAGAATTTACATGCTAAAAGACAGACACTTCAAGACTGTGGCCGATTCTTCGTTGCACAGACAGCTTTGTCATTTAAATTTGCAACTTGTCTGCCACAAAGGAAAAAAGAGAATATATGTCAATTCTCGTAAAGGACAGACTTTGGTTTTATTTGTTTCAAAATAACTGCTTGTCTTTTTCTATTTCAGAGATCTCTCCACATTCTCAACTCCGTTAGCAGTAAGCAAGAAAAGAGCAATAGATCATTAATGAATCCTTGTCATATCACTTTGATACACTCATCTGTCAGACACACTGTACTTATCCATCCACTATTGCATCCAGGAAATCCCATTTCCCTGGCAGATGTACCACACTGATGATGATCATCATGAAGAATGAAAAACAAAAGCACTCTTGACTGAGATCAGTCACTCCCGAGGCAGAGATAGCAAAGATTCATTGCCTTGAAAATGATCTGAGCAGAATCCTAGGTCAAAGGCTAAAATATGTCGTTGAACTTACGAGCCATTACCTCATCCTGCATTTTCAAGTTTGCCAGGCGTGATTTTTCCAGCTCAATATTTTTTTCTTTTAATTGTCTCTGCAGTTCTGCAAGTTCCCTGTGATTTTTCTCCTTGTAGTCTTCAAGCTGATTCTGAAATTCCAAAGCTGATGCTCTTGAGACTTCTACTATTTCAGCCACCTGGGGAAAAATGTAAATATAAAACACAGAGTGATATAAAAGACCATGTTTAATCTACAGTTTTTTTTTCAGGTTCTCCTATGCTCAACCCCAAATTCACCATTTGAGAGTACTATCAAACAAATGTTGTGCACAAATAAATGAATTTTCATGTAGACGCACAAAAACACTAAATGTTAAGGTTATTTTCTAACGGCTTGCAGGGCCAGACTATGCTCTTTTTGTCCATCAGCAGTTCTTCCAGTTGACTGACATAATGAGCTACACTGTCAAGCTTTAGGATATCAATACCAAGTTGTATGGTTTACATACAGACAGCAAAATAAATCTCTAAATATAGTAGCAATCTGATGAATCAGCTGTAAAACAATAATATCCAGCTGACGAAGAACTGACTTTGATCTGCAGCACACACTGAAACTAAGCTCAAATCAGGAATCTTGTTTTAACAAAACAGAACTGTTTTACAACAGTATTTTGAGATAGCAGCGTTCCAACTACTGTTCTAGTTCTGAAAGCTTTTATTGATAGTCTCCAGGTGAAGAAATTACTAGCCAAGTTCACATTTCACTTTCTTTTACATGTAAAAATATCCCAAAACTTATTTTGCAAACTGGCAGCTCATTTGCTTCTGTCTGTTAGATATTTAATCTCCTGCAGGCTCTCTGGAATGCACTCATACCTCCTCCTGTAACTTTTCAATGGTCTTGTTTAGTTGTTGTCGTTCGTCTTCCATTTCATTCTTTATCTTCTTCAACTGCTCCTTCTGGTAAATTTCATCTTTTAACTGCTCTGTTAACTGTTGCCGTTCCTGTGAAATACAACTAATGTCCTCCTGCAGGGGATTTTAAACAAAGAAAGAAAAAATCACATATGTAGATGTAGGCCCTCTTTTCCAATATATTAAAAAAGGCATGTAACACACTGTGCAGCAATAATATTAGCAGCTGTCATAACTTGAATACAACCCAAGGCTGGAAAAATGGAGAAGTTTACTGACTTAACAGTTTGTTAGCTAGTAGAAAACAAACAGTACTTAGGGATGCGGTGCTTTATCCTTGCTATAAAATTCTGAACCTTGCAACATTTGCAGGATATAAGGCATCCCCTTTTCATGGTTCTATAGCATGCGGAGCATACACTCCTCTGCAGTAGCACATGTGCTGGCAAATCCTACCTTCTGCACAAGCTTCAACACTGATTTCAGGTTTCTTATTTTCCTGACTGACACCTTTAACTCAGTGCTAAAGTATTTCCCAACAAAATACTCTTCCTAGGTTAAAAAAAAAAAAAAAAAGAAAGAAAATCTGTTCCTACCATGACTGAAAAGTAACTAATAAGGACTTTTTTCCCTTGTCGTGTGTCTACAGCACCCAGAAGCTCTGCACAGAATCATGCCCACTGTGATGGGCACTGTGGAAACAGAACCTCCTACCAGACATCCCTCCCCTTCCTCAAGGGACTTTTCACATTAATGTCCAGAACAAGACCTCCATATCTGCATTAAATTTTGAATGATCTGCAGAGCTATGCCCTACGGTCACTCACCAGGAGCTCCAGAACATCATGAGCACAAACAGACCAAACCTTTCTGTTGTCATGCTCACGATGTTTAAGAGCCTGGCACACCCTCAGCTTCTTAATTGTGTCCATCAGCAGAAGCACTGCCTGTCACTAGCTCATTCCAGTGCAAGTAAAGCAGGTTGACTTGTAGCTGCATGCGGGGCCCTTGCTTCTTCCTTCTCCCTCTGTAATAAAATACCTCCCTGGCCCTACTCTAAACAAAGTTTGCTTTTATGAAGTCTGAGAGGCAGCATGAAACTGTCCAAAACCAGGTTACAGACACTTCAAATTGCCCAAACAGAAAAACATAAAAAATGAAAATCATCATGAATTGCAAAAAGCATTCTAAAGTAGAGCTTTAAATTTTAATTCTGTTTTTAGAAATGCAAAACTCTGCTGAATATCTAATATACATGCTGTTTATTACATTATAAATAATTTATATGGGAAAACACATTAGCATGTCTGTAGGCATCATGGATTATAATCTGAAATAAAATTGCACTGTTGTAAGAGAAAAGAAAGAGGGCTGTCAGATGATAAAAGGTGGATTTTTTTTTTTGGTGTCTTTTACATCCCTGTAAACACATCTCTGATACAAATGCCAAAGCAGTAGACACATAATGCTGAAATATGCTGGGGGCTACTAGATGCTATTCTGCAAAGCCTAATTCTACCGAAGAATTAATTTAGCTGACACCACATGTTTTCAAGAACCTTGAAAAGGGTTTGGCTTTAGCGCTTCAGTACTAAAAACTGCTGAAATCCTGGGACCCAGCTAATGTGCTATATTCCAACAGGCTATAAAGACCTCATATGCTCCCCTCTATCAGTCTTTCACAGATCATTTAACTTTACAGTTTGTTTACACATTCTTCAGAAACAAACTGTGCAGACACTGATCAGTGAAATAAACTGTGGCAGAATAATGGTGCCAGCGGGAAGCGATTCTGTAGTTGCAGAATCCTGAAAAGGGAGGTGAACACGAGAGCAAAACTGATCAACAGCAAATCAACAATAGCAGCAACAATCACTGATCTCAGATAACGTCTCTTTTAGCAGCTATGGCAATTAGCAAATTAATAATGGATGTGAATAATTGCAATATTTATAGGTGCCAGTAAAGAGGGGAGTGACACAAGCACCTCAATTTTCATTAGGTCACACCATTCTAACTTTTGCCATATTTTCAGATATGCAGCAGACTGAGACCACATCTACCTGTTTCCATTCTCATTTTCTGTTTATTGCTCATCAAAAAATCAATACTTCTAAAAAATTAAAGGCATTAACTTTTTACTGTAATTATTCTGATAGAAAATGTAATTCCTTAATAACCAACTTTTTCCAAGGGGAAAATGTCAAGTTTTGCTAAGTTTATTTTTAGTTCATTCAGTAACAAACTGACAGCAGCAATTTTGTTTCAAACTATCATGAGATCTGAAGTTCAGGTGCTTCATGCTCTCATTCTCCTACAATGATTAAAAATCTT